TTCGACATTTTATTAAGTATTTACACAAAAAAATTGATCAAAATCAATTTTGTGAGTAAAAATTAATTAAATTAATTTTTTTTTGTTTCAAAAAAATCAAATAGTAATATTTTATTATAAAATATAAGAAATGTTATTTCTATTTTCAAAATTGCCGAAACAAAAATTGACAAGTCAAATATTAAGCCAAAATTTCGTGTCTAACTATGATTGTAGTCGACTTTTTTTGCCATGAAAAATTAGTATTTAAAAATGCTGTTAAAACGGGATGTTTTTTATCCAGTTCTTTGGCGTTTTAGATACTAATAATCATGAGTAGATAACAATTACAATATTAAGTAAAATAAAAATTTCTGCTTTATGATATAAAAATACCAACATCATTGTTTTTGTTTTTTTTAAATAAAAAACAAGACGAACTTATAGACAAATGGTAATTAAGTTAGACCGCTACTCGATGATGATTGTTTCAAAATATTTTATTTGTATTTCCAATTTCAAAAACATGGTATTAATATGTAAAAAATTTGAAGAGATTCCACAAATGTTTCATTTCAATCCAATTTCTGTTTCATTTAAAACACAGAAGTGTTTTCCAAATGTTGAGACTCTCCATCTTTATAATGTAAACGACAAATTTCTATCAAAATACAAACAGTACTATGTACATTATACAGTTCCTCTCTCTAAATATTACAATTTAATTAAAGGCCGACATGTTATATGTCCTTTTAAAACTTATTCTTGTAAAGACATTTACAGCTATTCTTATAAAGACAACTGTTTTTACAGACGAAGCATTTAAAGGCGATCATGAAAATATCATTACAATGGACTGCACAAACATAATAAAATTTGGACTTTGTTGTTTTATGTGCAACAATTCATTAGTTGCAATAACACTGTCGTGTAATTTGCGTGAAATTCCAGACAACTGTTTCCGAAGTTGTAATAAACTTAAAGAAATTAATTTGGAACACATTAGAGTGTTTGGGGAGAAATGTTTTGCGTACTGCAAAAGTCTAAGTGCTATTACTTTGGGAACAAACATCATTAAAACCGCGAAAAATGCATTTGTATGTGTAACTTCAATTCAAAATGTTACTGCTCCCAAAGTCAAGAAAGTTGAATTTGATGTAACAGCATCTTCCTCGAAGGCATTTCTTGATATAAAACATAAAATTACAACAACACAATATGATATAAACAACAATATTTTGCCAGACTTTTTATCGGACGAAATTGATTGTTATTCGTTTAATAATAGGAGCGGACTATCCGATATAAATCTTGCGACTACTGTCACTTGCATTGCTGACAATTCGTTCTCAAGTTGTGATATAGAACGACTTGATTTGTCGCATGTAACGCATTTTGGATCTCAACGGAACATGACGCGTCTAACTGCAATAACATTAAATAGTCATGTCACAATAAACAATTTATACGAATTTACTGGACTGAAGAAAATAGATGCTATTAACACCAAAAAGATAAACGTAAAGGCTGCGTGTTGGATGAAAGAAATGTTAGACAAGAAAAGTCTTGAAGTTAATGAGTTTTGTTACACTCAACAAGATGTGGACTATTTTAAAGGTATAATCCCTTCGAATTACACAAACTTGAAAAACATATTATTATACATTAATTTCGAAAAATACAAAGTTGAAGAAATTGTTATTCCAGAAGGAATTACTTCCATGAGTTTTTATAGTTATCAAACAAATAAAAATCTGAGAAAATTTGTATTTCCAAAGACTCTTATATATTCTAGTGTTTCTCATATCATACATTCGAGTCTTGAAGAACTTTGTATCATCCCAAGTCCACACTTAAAAATATCAAATTGTGACAAACTCACATCAGTTACTTTTCTTAGCCAAGATGTCACAAACTTTCGGATGTTTGACAATTGTTTTAATATCAAAAACATCGAATTTCCCGATATTCGATCCAATTTCGTTTTCAAAGGAAGTATCGATTACACTATTTACAAAGCATTAAAAAATAAATACTCTTTTGAGGGTGATGTTGTACTTTATTCAATTGATCCAAAATGGATCGACATAAACAATGTTTTGAAAATTCCAAATGATGTCAATGTGATTGAGGTGTATAATTTTGGATTAACCAATTTAGAAGAAATTTGGATGGGTGATAATGTAAAGTCAATCAGTTTATATTATTGTCGTGAAAACACAAATTTAAAGCGCGTGAGAAACATAAAAAGATCCGTTGAAATTCGAAAATATGACAATTTTATATTAAAACATGATGTCTTAATTGATTACATTGATTAAAATTCAAAATTTGAATTTTATTATGGTTTTGAACGCATTATAAAATTTATTATGTTATTCAAAAAAAATAAATCGTTTTTTTACAAATTATAAACATACTTTTCATTTTATTGTATATTTATAAGTAGAGCAGTGTTTAACAATTATGGTAAATATGTAATAAAATATGTACTATGTATTTGATTATTTAAATATAAAGTTTAAGTTCATATCAAAAGTGTTTATTATTTAATTAAAAATCTTTTTATTTTTAAAAAATAATTATATATATTTTATATATATATAAATTCATTCTGAACAAGTGTGCAACTTTATTTTTTCTTTGTTTTTTACTCACAACAAAGGTGAAACTCTATTTTTCAACAATAACAAAAACAATAACAAAAAGTTGAATTAGGTTATAAATCAACATAAAATATAACTCGATATTAAATAATAAGTTTAACTGCTTGTTCTAATAAAAAACATAAAAATCCAGAATACCAATTGTCATACAGAACGAATAAAACAGTGTAGTATATTGATTGTGGATGGCGCAAATGCTAAACATCTTGTTTATAAAACGAAAATAATGAGACAAGTTACTTAATGTCATACAAAGACTTTCTTGCTGCAAAAATACGATAAACACGAGACTGTTGAATAGTGCAACCCAAAAAACTATTGAGAAAAATTGTGCAACTTCAGTTATAGTTTATTTATGGTATTATAATTATAGTAATAGTTTTAAAGAAATTTGTTTGTGTTTTCTTCAGAGGTTTCCAAAATTCAATTCTAATTACCCACGTCACCACATTTTTACAATAAAATTTTAATTAATTTATTAAAATTTGATGGTATAAAAAACTTTACTATTACAAATTATTACAATATTTTCAATTTGCTTTTTATTTGTTATAACTGTAAAAACTACTATTATTTAAACCAAAGAAAACAAAAATGAAAATACACATATAAAACACAATCAAATTACCAAATCAGCTTAAAGTTCAATTTAAAAAAATAAATCAAAGAAAAAATAATAATCACCATAAAAAACAACAAAACTAAAAATTGACTTAATTCACCATTTAAAAAAACTAATAAATCAAAATGTCTAGTTTAATGGAACAAAGAAAAAGACGAATTTCTTGGGTCTCTGATAGACTGTTAGTTCCTGTAAATGACAAGTCTTTTAAATGTTTAT